CCTCCTGCATCATCTCACTGTCTGGGCTCCTAGCAAGACAGGGCTCCAGGAGCCAGGGACGGGGGGTCAGCTAAGGGAAACAACACATGTGATGGTCCTGCCCTGAAAATAACATGCACAGAAATAAAGGCAGCAGAGATGGCCTCTGAACAAGTGTTCCCATCTGCCAAGAGCACCTGTGTGTTTGAGCAGGGGCCACAGACAACACAGACGGGGAGACTCGGCCCCCAGAGCTCACGACCTGCTGGGAGGGCAATGCTGGCACATATGGGGCCATCAGGGAGCAGGAAAGGATGACGCAGACACATCGTCTTCTGTTGCTCCCTCCTTGTCCCTCAGGTGACCCGCCTTGAGCTGCAGTGTTCAGGTCACAGGTGCTCTGGAAGGTCAGGGCAGAGGATGAGACCTGGGTGGACAGGGCAGGGTTTGTGGAGGACTGCCCTTGAGTTTGACCTTGAAGAGTCGGAGGAGTGGGAGTGGGAGACATTTCAGACAGGGCAGTTTGCGAGAGTAAACTCAGAGATGGAAGAGATGGGTGCAGGGAGGAGGAGGGCTGGAACGAGGGCTCACAGCTGGGAAGGAGGGAGCATGCGCGCTGGCCTCTGGGCTGGGACCTCTGGTGGGACCCTAAGGACGGAGCACTGGATGTGCACAAACACAAGACATGCACAGAAGGGGAAGGAGCCGGGGTGCCAAGCATCCATCCCGTAATATGGCAGGCGCTGCAGTAGGGGGGCCGGCCATCCAGCTCATGCCGGCAAGTGTTCAAAGATGCAAAGCTGACCAGAGTGTGGCCTGCTGGGCAAACAGCATATCCATGTGGTGTGTGGGTGCAGTACTACCAGGAGGGCCGGGGGACTGGAAAAGCAGATGGGGTGATCTTTTTCCCCCAGCTTATATAATTGACATATAACATTGTATAACTTGAAGGTATACAATGTGATGATTTGAAATGCGTATATATTGTGAAATGATTACCACAGTCAGGTTACTTAATACCTCCATCATCTCACCTAGTTATCTTTTGTGTGTGTGTATGTGCTGAGAACATTTAAGATCTACTGTCTTAGCAACTTTCAAGTGTACAATACAGTATTGTTCACTATAGTTGCCAGGGGTCCCCAGAACTTATTCATCTTGTAACTGGAAGTGGTGAGCTTGTCAAGAGCCTTGAAAGCCATGCTAAGGGGTAAGTTAGGACAAAGGCCATCCGACAGGGGGAGCCTTGGAAGATTTTAAGGAGGACCACCAGACCTCCAGTCCTGAAGGGAAGTGCCTAAGAGCTCAGCTTCTGAGATTCAGGCTAGAACATCTTCCAGCTACACTAATCCTGCTTCCACGAGCAGATCAGATTCGTAAAGAAGCAAGGATAGAAGAGCCAGAATCTATGAAGCCAACCAGCCAATCCAAGCTCCAGAAAGAGATTCGGTATAAGCCCATTACCCAGACGCAAACACTCTCAGAATACCAGAGGTCAAATGGGGCAGCCCAGCACCCCCATTTTAGAGGTCAGGAAACTGAGGCCCAGGGCAGCTAAGACCCGGTCCAGTTCTTGGAGTGTGTCTCGCCCTGGGCCCAGCTCTGCCGACACACATGCACATTATATCCACATGGAAAGGTCATTACAGGACTCAGAGCTGTGTGACCTTAGAGAGCCATTCCCTCCCTGGTCCTTGGTTCCCTTATCTTGAAAGTGAGGGAACTGGATTAGATCAGTATTTGCAAGGTCCTGGGAAGCATACTGCTAATAATGCAGGTTATGGGCCTGCTGACTCAGACCATGAATCAGAACATGGTAACTGCTCCTGGTAAACTAGATGATCTCTAATTGTTTTCCAGGACTCATTTCTCATGAGCTTTGTCCACTCTACCGCCCCTCGCCCCTGCTCCCGTGAAAAGTCTCCATTAGGGACAGCCGGCTCTGCCCGGGGCCGAGCTCTTCCCATGGTGTGCCCCAGTCTTCTGGCCCCAGAGGCAGAAAGCTGGCTGCCAATGCCCTGTTTGGATTGTTCTGGTCTGCACTTTCTGAGGAAGCTCTTATAGGCTGCAGGCTGGGAGTTCTCGTTTTGAAAATCCACCCTTTCTCAACCTCAAAATAGCTTGCAAACAAACCACACCCCAGATAGCCCTCCAGGCCCCTTTGCCCCTCACTGGCTGGATACCTTTGGGAAAGTGCTTCCCTTCTCTGAGCCCCTACTTTTTCTCTGTCCAAGAGAGGAAATTATGCTAGGTGTATTGAATCTAGCTCACACTAACCCAAGTTCTCTCATCAGCCCTGGACAATAGGAATTAATGTCTGGCCCTAGGTTTGGCTCTGCATAGAGAGGTTAAGTAACTTGCCTAAAGGTCACCCAGCAAGTTAGTGGTGGGTCTGCAGCTAGAACAGGGGCTCCCACCCCCCCTAACAGGGGACTCACCCTCACACCATACCTTGCCTGTAAATAAGGACCTTCCAGGGCCATTGAAAAGGTGTATTCACCTGCCCATAGCAGGTGCTCAATAAAAGGAAGTTATAGTCATGTTCTCAGCACTACTTACACTCGGGCCAATTGACGCTGAAATGTTATTTATTTTAGATGCCTTAATGAAAAGCTTGGAAGAAGAGGTGGGTATTTATAATAGGCCCTTGATATTTGAAGATTTACCGTTTGCATTGTCCATTATTTGAGGGTGAGCCTCGGGGTCAATTATATGTAATAGTGAATTTTTTAAAATCTGCCTTATAAGGTTGTGGTGAGGAATTTAAATGAGCTGATGGATTTAAAGCCCCACTGATGACTCTGAGCTGAGCCCTCCTCCAGGCCCTGGTGAGTGAGCCTAGCTGACCACCTCACATCAGTGTTTCCATCAGAGCCTGAGTGAATGTGTGAAATCCCATACTCGTCAGGACCATATAGCATCACTATAGGGGTGCAGACAGCCCTATCCCCCGACCCCTACAGTGGTGAGGAAAGAGGCCTGGGCCAGGAGCCAACAGGCCTGAGTTCTAATCCCAGCTCTGCCATTACCCTCTGGGTGACCTCGGCCAGTTCCCCTCCCTGGGCCTCAGTTTGCCCATCTGCAGAATGAAGGACTAGCCTAGGCCAGTGGTTCTCAAAGTGGTCCGTGGACAGGCAGCATCAGCAGCAACTGGCAACTTGTTAGAAATGCAAATTCTCTGCCCTTCTTCCCCAGACCTGCTGCGTTAGAATCTCCGAGTGTGGGCGCAGCCCTCGGTCTCATCAAGCCCTGATAACGGTTGTGATGCATGCTTGAGTTTGAGAACCACTGGCCTGGGTGCTCTCTAAGACCTTTTCCTACTCCAAAACCTATCACCTGGATGAAATGTGGGTTACAGATACCATAAGGGCAGCCTGCTGGCAGGAGGAGGGGGTATGGGATGTCACAGTAGGGTACTATGCAGCCTGGAGTCGGCAGGTGGGTTGTGGGAGGGGCAGGGGCAGGAGGATGTGGAAGAGAGGAGGGTCTGGTGTGCCAGGACACCAGCCAGCTTGGGCAGCAGCACTTCCTTACCCCACCCCCACCGGGTCCATCCCACTCCCCACCCCCATCTCCACCCCCCAGGTGCCCTCCAGCCTTCCCTTGAGCACAGGTGTGCGGGGCAGAGCTGTCCTTTCTGGTCCTCCTCTCCTGGCCCCTGCCACTGTACACACAAACATCCTTTTCTCTCCTGCCCCAGCCCTGGAGAATCAGCCTGAAAATGAGAGTCAGAGAGACCTCTAGCGGCCAGGGGACACCAGGCGACCAGGACATGCTCCAACTGTCCTGGGGTTATGTTGAGCATGGTTTAAATCCGGCCATTCTAGGGAGGACATCAGGGCTCCACATCTGCTCCAACCTCAAACCCGAGCCAAAAATTACAGGCAGACACTCCACCCAAGCCACACCTGCGGGGTGGGAGACGGGACACAGAGCTTCCCGGCCTGCCGGGCCTGGCTACGGAAGGCTGTAGAAGGATCCTGAGAGTTCTTGCAGCACAGCTGACTCCACCTCAGCCAGGCTGAAAGGCTCCTTCAGCTGGTTCACCCAGCGCTCAGTCTTTGGGAAAACAACTCCGTGATATCCGTTTTCCTTTCAAGACCACCAGGAGGTGTGTTGAATCTTGCTCAACACAAACCCAGATTCTTCCCATCAGCCCTGGACAATAGGAACTGATGTCTAGTGCTAGGTTCAGCTCTGTGCAGAGAGGTTAAGTAACTTCCTAAGGTCACCCAGTATGTTAGTGGTGAGTCTGCAGCTGGAGCAGGGGCTCCCTCACCCCCAGTGGGAGCCCCACGCCTACACCATACCTTACCTCTGAATAATACCGCTTAAATCCTGAAAAGCTTTGCCCCAGATTAGGCTGCATTCTTGTTGCACCTGGCTCTTTTGTGAACCCTGGAATCCTCCGAAAAGGAGAGCCCAGGGCTTGGGATAAGAAACCACAGTGCAGGAGACGTGAACAAGGTGTGCTGGGCTCTGAAACCTCCCAGATTAGCGCTGAGGACAGACAGATCTCAACAGCCCAGGAGCTGGGATGGGACCAGGGGCTCTGGGCAAAAGCACAGGATGAACCGGGAGGGAAGACTGTTGCTTGGAGAGAGTGGGCACGAGATTAAGGTGCAATGCAGTATCAGAAGTTGCTGCTCCATCGGAGGACTAAGGACAGACTGCTGACTTTCAGGGGCCTATGTCCCCAGCAAGTCTATTTCCCAGTCTGTGAGCCAGGCCCCTGAAGAGTAGGACCTTCATTGCTCCGAGCTGATGTGTAAAAGGAGTTCTGGAGTGCAGGAGGCCTTTCAGGACACTGCTCCTTCTCCAGCCCTCTAATCCAGGTGAGCAGCCACACCTGTTGGGGTGAGGCAGCCATTGAAGGTGACTCCCAGCATGGGTGCCATTCCCGGGGTTTGACACCACGGCAATAGGGAGCCCTAGCAGGTTCTGGGAGGAAGAGGGAGCCGAGGGTTAGGAATGGCTCCTGGTGTTCCGTGGGGGGACTGACTCCCAGCTCTGCATTGCAGGCAGGACAAGCTGAAGATCCATATGCGGAAGCACACGGGGGAGCGGCCCTACCTGTGCATCCACTGCAATGCCAAGTTCGTGCACAACTACGACCTCAAGAACCACATGCGCATCCACACGGGCGTGCGGCCCTACCAGTGCGAGTTCTGCTACAAGAGCTTCACGCGCTCCGACCACCTGCACCGCCACATCAAGCGCCAGAGCTGCCGCATGGCGCGGCCCCGGCGCGGCCGCAAGCCCGCCGCCTGGAGGGCCGCCAGCCTGCTCTTCGGGCCCGGAGGCCCGGCGCCCGAGAAGGCGGCCTTCGTGATGCCGCCCGCGCTGGGCGAGGTGGGCGGCCACCTGGGTGGGGCCGCCATGTGCCTCCCGGGCCCCAGCCCCGCCAAGCACTTCCTGGCGGCGCCCAAGGGCGCGCTGAGCCTGCAGGAGCTGGAGCGGCAGTTCGAGGAGACGCAGATGAAGCTGTTCGGGCGCGCGCAGCTGGAGGCCGAGAGGAACGCGGGCGGCCTGTTGGCCTTCGCGCTGGCCGAGAACGTGGCCGCAGCGCGGCCCTACTTCCCGCTGCCCGACCCGTGGGCCGCGGGCCTGGCCGGCCTGCCCGGGCTCGCCGGCCTCAACCACGTGGCCTCCATGTCTGAAGCCAACAACTAGGCTGGTCCTTGTCACCCCGTCCAGCAGCCCTGTCCCCTCTCCCACCAGGCCCACCCTGCCCCACCCAGTGGTTCTGAACTTTGTAATTCAAATCGCAATGGGAAAACGAAAAGAAATGTTAGCAGCAATGGTATCCTCCGGGCCTCCTGAGGCTGCTGCGTCCCTTTTGCTGGTGTATGAGATGGGCTTCCCCTCCCAAAGGGCGTGGCCTCTCCCTGGCTGTCTCCCTGGCTCTCACACAGACAGTCACATGGGCCCATGCCACAGAGGAGGCCACACAGTGGTGCCCAGGAGCACTTAGGAGCTGTGTGGCGCTAGATGGAGGGGGGTGACTGGGCCAGAGGCAAACCAAATGGAGCAGGGATGAGGGTAGGGTCCTGGGGCACACAGCCTGATTGAGCCGCACCCTATGGCAGAGGCCCTAGGGACACTGCTCTGATGAGTATTCCTGTCTCCAGCAATCCTGGGATCCTTATGGGAAACACCCTGTAGGCAGAGAGGCCTCCGGAGCCAGGAGTGAGTCTCCCAGAGTCTGGGCCCATTTTTCCCTCACTGCGCTGTGACCTTGGACAGGTCAGCCCTCCGTACCCCAGTTCACCCTGCTATGAAGGGGGCTGGTAATTTAGTTTCCCCTCTCCCACCCACCCACACACATATACACGCCTATCCCTCCACAGAGAATTCTTGAGAGGGTAGGAGCTTTCCACTCCTGAAGTCCCTGCTGGAAACCGTCTGTCTTACCAGATTTCGTTGTATCACATCCACCTCTGTGTTAGCACAGGTGAGAAATGAGGCCAGGATGAGGTGAGAAATGAGATAGGATGACAGAGACAGAGCTGAGGTAGTGCTTCTCCACAGCCCACTGCAGCTTCGTGCCCACCACCCTCCTCCCGGGCAGGCTGCTGTGCATGTCTGGGCCCCTGGGGATGACTAGTTAGCATGTACCCCACCTCCACATGCCCCCTCCAATGCTGCACAGAGTCTCTTGGGACTCCTGGGGCCAACATAGAAGGGACGGGGGCCACCTCTTAACACCTGGAAATTGTCCTCCACCGTGATTCCAGAAACAGACAAAGCACCTGGTTCCCCCGGGGGTTCTAGGTTGCTTTTCCAGTTGTCGGTTTCTCAGGGCCTTGGCGTGGCTGGCGACTGCCCCCTTTGCTGTGTCTGAACACCCTCAACCCCTCCATGCCCGCTCCGGGGCTGAAGTTGGCGTGTGCGGCTCCCTTCAGTGTGGGAGGTGGAGTCTTGGCTCCAACATGGGTTTCAAGGGTTCTGTGGGTTGGTGCGTCCACACACTCTCCCTGGTTCTTGAGTCTGTAGCAGGTCCTGAGAAGGAAGACAGCTCCGCTGGCCCAGTGCCTTCCTGATCTTCTCCCCCTCTCTGGCCCTTCCCTCCCTTGTCTTGCTGAGTCCGCTTTTGTGTCTCAGTAGCCTGGAAAGGAGGAGCATTCATCAGCAAGGGTGCCCAGGGCTGGTGTCCCCGATCCCGGAGCTGTGGGTGCAAGAGACTTCGGCTCTTCCGGTCGCCTTGGCTTCTTCCTGAGCAAACATAAAAAAACAAAAAGGCCATAGAAGACCACAGACTCTGTCACTCTCCCAGCTCCCAGGACAGACCCCCTGCCTCCACACACCACCAGATGCTGTTCCAGCCAGAGGGACTTGCTTCTGACACCTCTTGTCTTCAGGAGTCATCTACCTAGGCAGCCGCCTCTTGGATTCCTGTCTCCATTTCAGACACTTGCTTCTGGAACACACCAGCCAACATACCTGTGGTCCCCCCGTCAGCCAAGGGACTGGGGCTGACCTGAACTTTAAAAGGAAACGAGGAAAAATGAACCAATTGGAATCCAGTGGTGTCGGGGCTTTTGTTTTTATTTTGTAAAGATAATGACTTCTTATAAACTCAGTTTTTCAGACGACTGGTTAGTTCTTTTTGCTTTGTCTTGGCTGCAGTGTGGAGTTGTACGTTGTAAGATATCCAAAGATGTTGAGTACTGTATGATCAGAAGAACTTGAAGCAAATGGGTTGTGGGCAAAGGGGTGGTTGTGTTTTATTTTGTTCCCCCTTTTTTTTTTTTTTTTGATGTTTCAATTTCCCTGTCTGTCTGTGGGAGAACTTTGGAATTTTTTCTATTTATAACTCTTTTTTTATGTGATTGCTTTATGTGAAATGACACTCAACAAAGTTTGCCTTAGTGATTCAAGGGACAATCTTCCATAACTTTGGTCGCACGCCGCATCCCGCCAAGAAAAATTCTCAGCTAATTTTCTGGCCTATTTATTAAACAGTATTAATTGACTTGATTAAGTTATATTGAGAGTTGCACTTCTGTGAGAGGCGACAGCAACAAGTCAACCTGTAGATGCTCATTGCTTCAGGTTCTGATGACTGGGTGTCACAAACTTACAATAATGTCAATGACACCTTTATAAAAAACACAAAACTTTGACCCTTATTTAATAATTTGAAGGACAGCGTTTTGAGCACAAAATAGCTATGCTTGCTCAATTCCCTGGTTAAGGTTGACTTCCCCCTTCCAATTCTCATTTCAGTTGTCAGTGGGGGGTTGTGTGGTGGGGAGGCCAGGATTCCATCCTTCAGTGGTCTCCTATTTCAGCTTTGTGAGGAACCACTTGATCATAATCTTTGGGCATCTATGAGCCTGAGTGCGAGGTGTTTGTGCGTGTGTGTGTGTACACATGTGCAGGTACAGCCTGTGGTGTGTGAGCACGGGAAAGTCCAGGGGTGTCTGACCATTTTAACACAGCCAGCCCTACCAGTTCCCTGGCTTGGCATCCAAAGCGGCCTCCAGCTGGCCTTGCCACCACCTTGGACTTCTTCCTCTCATTCCTTGGCACTGGATTTGGACGTCTTTCTTTTTCACCTGAGCCTCTTTCCCAACCAGGGAACACTAGACCCTGAAAAATGTAAGAAAATACACTTCTATCTCTGAAGTAGGTCAACTCTACTCAACCCCAAGCACGGACTTTGAACTGCATTTTTCTGGATAACCAAGGGTTAACACAAAGCCCCTTTTCTGTCTTTGATCCCCTTTCTTGCCATGATAAGCGTTCTTATAAACCTAATGCAGCATTTCTTGGTACAGAGGAAGGAACAGATCTGAGTTTCAAATCTGGACTCTGAGCTGTGTGTCCTTAGACTAATCACTTCTCTACTCTCGTCTTCACTTTCCTCACTTCTAATAACAAAGGAGATTGAATACATCAGAGCTTCTCCAAGTTCTTTACCCAAATACCCCTCAGCAGAGGGGGCCAGCCAGTTGAGGGAGTGGGGACTGAACTCTAAAGGAATAGCTGGAAGCAACCATCCTGTGGTGTAAAACACCTCTGAAGTCTCATATTATGGCTTTGAAATTCATGCTTCTACATTCTATTACATAATATGTATGCACTGGTCTTAAGATAAAAATATCATCTTGAACTACCTGCCAGTTCCATTACTAGCCTTTTCCCCAGAATCTTCTGGTAAAGTCAGAGTGTTCCTTGGCCACCCTCCAGCTTTAAGAGGCCCGAACTCGTGGCTGAGGGCTTGGGGGTAAGCATAGCCCAATGCAAGAAATACAAGGCCAGCTACTGGTCAAGAAATGCAGTTCGAGCATTCTAGGATCATTGGGTCCTCACTCTGGGGGTGAGTGTCCACTGAGGGCCACAGGTGAACATGGCGAAGGGATAGGGAACTGGGCCCAATGGGGCCTGAGCCCTGGGTGCTCCTGAACTCCTCGTGTGAGTAAAATCCCCTCTAGTCCTGGCCAGGTGGGTTTTCCATGGATTTCCGCCAGGCGTGGCCTGCTCCCTCAGGCCCCAGTGTGCTAAGGGAGTTGGGGTGCAGACAGCAAAGGAAGAAGGGAGAGGTAGGAGAAGGAGGCCATTGAGAGCAGGCCAAAGAAACACGTGCATCTTAACCTGGAGAAGAAGGCTTAATGGGTACAGTAGAACAGGCCTTGGAACTTCTAAAGGTCTGTCAGGTAGAGGAAGGATTTTACCAAAAGTTTGGCCAACTCAAACTAATAGGAGAGGGAATCCAGGGGGCAGGTGGGTGCCTGAATGAAGGAAGATAACTTCCTAACATCTAGACTTGTCCTAAAGAGGAATGAGATCCTTTGTGATGGAGTGAGCTCTCAGTCAATGGAAGGGTTCAACATCACCTTTCAAGAATGAGGTAATTCCTGCAAGGAAGGAGGGCTTTCCAGATGGTCCATCCCTTGGGCCCCTTCCATCTGATTTGTGAAAAGGAGAATATATATTCTCATGTGACCATGGAGGAAGGACTGTGCCAGGGATAGTGGGTGACAAGTGAAAAAGATGAGATGGGACAAGTGCGCAGAACCCACCCTGGTGGCCTACGGCTGCATGTCCCCCGGCCCTCCCGCCGCTGACCTACAGTAACTTGGGGCCGGAGAAACAGGACTCCGTGTAGAAAAGACCCTGACTCTTATTTTGAGGTCCCAGATATGTGACAGGAGGACAGTGATGAACCAACAGGAAGTGAGACTGTCACTCCTCTTAGGCTGTTATCTGACCCCAGGGCCTGCCCTTAAGGAGAACAAAGGTCCCTATTTGCAGGGCTGCAGAGGTCCACGCCACATCCCGACAAACCTCTTCACAGACCCTGTTCCTACTCTCCTGGAACCTTGCCAGCTCTTCCTCCTGAGGGTCCTCTGAGCTTACTGCAGACCAGGCAACTTAGCATTTACAGAACCCAGGGGCCAACTGGGTGTTCCCCTCGCATGCACTTCCCCTTCTGAAAGCCAGGTGGCGCTAGGGCTTCATAAGGGAAGCGAGAAGCGGGGGCAGGGAGGCCTCATGGGCACAGGTTCTCTAGTCTGAAAAGTCTGTCACTCAGGAGAGTCAGGAGGCCCTACAGGAGGGAAATGCATCCTGCAGGCAGAGGGTCAGAGGCCTCTCCAGGGACCTGGGAAATCCTGGAATGAAGGATGTTTATAGCCAATGACCACACCTCCCAACCCCGCCAGTGTCCTCCTCCTCCTCCTTTCTCCTGGTGCCCCTTCCTACCCCAAACACCCTTCAAGATCTGGGCGCCCTCTCTTCTCTCTGCCCTCCCCTCTGTCCAACCTCTGATAGGAGCCACTGGGGATGAATGTGACTCACAGGCTCCCTCTCCTGGCCTTTGCAGCCCCCTGCTCCTCCTCCCAGGGGGAAAGAAAGGCCCCGAGCAAAGCGAGGTCAGGCCTCAAGCAGCAAACAAGGGTGGCTGATCTGGACAGGCGGCCTTGAAATCACACCAGTGGACAATTATCAGCCTGCCCGGGCCTCCCAGCCCTGCCCACCTCTCCCCCATCC